TCTTCCCATGTTGTAAAACGGTTAGAGAAAGAGAAATTAGGTAATTAATTAGTAAAAATCAAAGATTTTGCACATAACAAACAAACTACTTGCTGTACAACCCATTCATTGATTTACAGACACAAAGTCATTCAAGAGCATTGCAAATACATAGGATATTTCTGGATGCTATCTCTTCCATTCAGATTTATAGAGTTACATGCAAATAGACTGAACCTAATTGACTGAGGAATACAATGAAGCAAATTAAGAGGTTTATTCCATCTGAAAATCTGAAATAAGTTACATTCAAAGACATTTCTTGGCATGCTTATTCCTACTATGGAAGAATCTTTCCACAACATACAGTTTAAGGTTTAAAAATAAAATAGGTCCCCTAAAGTATGGTCCTAGGATCCTTAGAAGGATGAAAGAAAAAGAATCAAGAGTCACTTTGTTTACTTTGTATGTGCATTTAACTCTAGTAGAGATAATTATTGAGTACACCTGGGAGGGCAGGAGATTGAATAAAATTAGGAGAAAACCTGCTTATTTTAACCATTCCATTAAATTGGTGTTTGATTGTAGTGAATTATGTCCATTCATCTGAGAAGTTTAATCCAAGACCATGGGAGTATATGAGAGAACTCAGTAACAAGCTATCAGAACCACTTGCCAAAATTTAAAAGTTATTTTTAAGTTCAGGCAAGGTACCAGAATATAACACCATTTCCTCCAAAGCAAGAGGGGCGACATAGGGTGTAAATCTGGTAATATTACCATGTAATCATGATACTTATGCTTAAGTCAATCATTTGGGGTCAAAAAACAAGATATACACATTTATTAGAGTAAGATGACAGACAAATCATAGAATCCTAAGGCTGGAAGAGACCTTAGGAGGTCATTGAGTCCAACCCCCTGCCCAAAGCAGGACCAACCCCAACTAAATCAACCCAGCCAGGGCTTTGTCAAGCCAAGACTTAAAAACCTCTGGGGATGGAGATTCCACCACCTCCCTACGTAACCCATTCTAGTGCTTCATAACCCTTCTAGTCAAATAGTTTTTCCTAATATCCAAACTAGACCTCTCCCACTGTAACTTGAGACCATTGTTCCTTGTTCTGACATCCGTCACCACTGTGAACACCCTTGCTCCATCCTCTTTGGAACCTACCTTCAGGAAGTTGAAGGCTGCTATCAAATCCCCCCTCACTCTTCTCTTCTGCAGACTAAACAAAACCAAATCCCTCAGCCTCTCCTCATAGGTCATGTGCTCCAGCCCCCTAATCATTTTGGTTGCCCTCCGCTGGACCCTCTCCAATGCATCCACATCCTTTCTATAGTGGGGGGCCCAGAACTGGACACAATACTCAAGATGTGGCCTCACCAGAGCCGAATAAAAGGGAAAAAACACTTCTCTGGATCTGCTGGAAATGCTCCTCCTAATGCACCCTCATATGCCATTCCCCTTCTTGACTACAAGGACACACTGTTGACTCATATCCAGCTTCTCATCCACTCTAATCCCCAGGTCCTTTTCTGCAGAACTGCTACTTCGCAAATCGGCCCCCAGCCTGTAAAAATGCTTGGGATTTTTCCGTCCCAAGTGCAGGACTCTACACTTGTCCTTGTTGAACCACATCAGATTTCTTTTGGCTCAATCCTCTAATCTGTCCAGGTCACTCTGGAGCCTATCTCTGCCCTCCAACATATTTTCCTCTCACACACACACAGTTTAGTGTCATCTGCAAACTTGCTGAGGGTGCAATCCAGCCCCTCATCTGGTCATTAATAAAGATGTTGAACAAAACTTGCCCTAGAACCAGTCCTTGGGGCACTCCAGTAGAAACTGATCACCAACCTGACATCAAGCCATTGATTGTCATCTCTGCCTTCCAACATATTTACCTCTCACACACACACACAGTTTAGTGTCATCTGCAAACTTGCTGAGGGTGCAATCCAGCCCCTCATCTGGTCATTAATAAAGATGTTGAACAAAACTTGCCCTAGAACCAGTCCTTGGGGCACTCCAGTAGAAACTGATCACCAACCTGACATCAAGCCATTGATTGTCAGGGAAATCTCGCTCTCCTGGGGTACAGAGTCCCCAGAAGGGTCTGAGGCTGGAGGTCAAAACAGTAAGGCAGGAGAGAGGTCTAAAAGGAAAACTTTATTATGCATGCATGCAGGCTGCAAGCTATAAGAGTGGAGCAGCCCTGAGAGACAGTTTCAGGGGTCCTTTATACAATATGTTCAGACAGCTTAGTTGTTGATTGTTTTCTTTAACATATCAGTCTCAGCAGAAGTACTCTGAGTTGTTTTTGTTCACACCAGGGCTACGTCTACACTGGCCCCTTTTCCGGAAGGGGCATGTAAATTTCACCAGTCGTAGTAGGGAAATGCGCGGGGGATTTAAATATCCCCCGCGGCATTTAAATAAAAATGTCCGCCGCTTTTTTCCGGCTTTTAAAAAAGCCGGAAAAGAGCGTCTACACTGGCCCCGATCCTCCGGAAAAAGTGCCCTTTTCCGGAGGATCGGGGCCAGTGTAGACGCTCTTTTCCGGCTTTTTTAAAAGCCGGAAAAAAGCGGCGGACATTTTTATTTAAATGCCGCGGGGGATATTTAAATCCCCCGCGCATTTCCCTACTACGACTGGTGAAATTTACATGCCCCTTCCGGAAAAGGGGCCAGTGTAGACGTAGCCCTGGTGTGAACAAAAACAACTCAGAGTACTTCTGCTGAGACTGATATGTTAAAGAAAACAATCAACAACTAAGCTGTCTGAACATATTGTATAAAGGACCCCTGAAACTGTCTCTCAGGGCTGCTCCACTCTTATAGCTTGCAGCCTGCATGCATGCATAATAAAGTTTTCCTTTTAGACTTCAAAGTAGGAATAAGAGCCTCCGGAAAAGGGCGCTTTTTCCGGAGGATCGGGGCCAGTGTAGACGCTCTTTTCCGGCTTTTTTAAAAGCCGGAAAAAAGCGGCGGACATTTTTATTTAAATGCCGCAGGGGATATTTAAATCCCCCGCGCATTTCCCTACTACGACTGGTGAAATTTACATGCCCCTTCCGGAAAAGGGGCCAGTGTAGACGTAGCCCAGGTGTGCTAGAAGTCAGTTTTACAGTACAAAGGCACATGATAACCTGAGTGAGGAGTCTACAAGACAAACTGTGACAAGATAAGAGTTTCCATGAAAAATTGTGACAGACTAGGGGTCTCCATTAAGTTGAGATAGGAGGCATTGTAAGGGTCTTGATTAGAGTTAAGATGATTTCTCTCTGTTACAGGGAGAGAGGCCTGGAAAACTTTTAACCCTTATAGCAGTTTTCTTTTAGAGAGTTTTGATTTCCTGCACAGTCCCCTCTGAGACACAATTGGAGTTATTTGATTTTTCTCCCACAATTCACCTACCTGACATCGAGTCATTGATCACTACCCGTTGGGCCCAACAGACTATCCAGCTTTCTATCCACCTTGCAGTCCATTTATCCAATCCATACTCCCTTAACTTGCTGGCAAGAATATTGTGGGAGACCGTATCAAAAGCTTTGCTAAAGTCAAGGTATATCACATCCACTGACTTCCCCATGTCCACAGAGCTAGTACCTCATCATAGAAGCTAATCAGATTGGTCAGGCATGACCCCTCTTCCAACTGCTTCAAACTCTGTAGTTCCTGTCTCCTGTCAGCTCTTAAAGCTGCAGGAACCTGGGACAAGCCTTGTGGCAGAAAGTCAAGCCTGGGAGCTGCACCTCACCATCTGGTTCTGATTGCCACACAACTTGGGAGCAATGGCCCAGCCTCAAGCAACACCATGGTTCCCAGGACCCAGCCAGGGGCACCAAATGGTGTGCACATTCCTGGTCCAGGGCAGAGATCCTGTCCCTCCTCAAGCTGTGGGGGGAGGAGGAGCCTCTGTGGGATTTCCACTCCCAGCAAAGAAACACTGACATCTATGGCCAGGTGGCTGAGGCTCTGGTGGAGAGGAAACACCTCTCCCCCCAGAACTGTTGAGCAAGTCAGGAGGAAGGTAAAGGAGCTACCCGAGGGCCAAAGAGTGCAGCTCTCACTTTCCCCTATTTCCAGGAGCTGCACCAGATCCTGGGCGGTGGGAAAGC